GGAGTATTCGGCAAATCAACATTCCACTCCAACCACCATAAATCCGATTGCCTTCAAACAAAATGGAATCAACTTCTAATAGCAAAAATTCGTCACGTCAGGGTCGATTTAAATAATCAGGGGAGCTATTAATTTACTCTTTTTTTTTCGATGAGTTATAAAGGCGTAATTAATGGTTTAATATGTTTGCATTTCATTCTGCAAAACTCTCCAGTTCGTTCAATTACCATAGCGTTTAATTAAACTACTTCTATAAATAGATTTTCGGACTTTCTCAATGTTAAGGTCATATCTTTTTATAGTTTTGTTCCCGTTCTTATTCATTTATATGACATGCTGCGAATCAAGAAGGAGAGACCAATAAATGACTTTACATAATAGAAATCGAAAGGAAATCGTGCTTCCGAATTTTTTTAGCTGTAAATCAAAGGGATTAATTGAAAAAATATCGGGTCCATAGACAAAAAAAATAGTAAACACTAATAGCATAAACACATGTTTTGGCGGTTGATTATGGTTGATTTTAAATATTTAATTTAGTTATATTTCTTTTTATTATATTAAAGTATACTTTTAACCTCTGCAGTATTCTTGGATATAATTAACCAGTATTGACTGAGTACCAAGACATTGTTGTTCATATGCATTTACAAAGTCAAAGACATTACAAATCGAAAATTTTTGTGGATCGGACAATATTCTTTTTACATCCCTAACCATTAAATCATCTGGTGGTATTAACGCAATAATTTTACGCTACAGTACAGACTTATATCAATCAATGATGATGTTTTGTTTCATATGACATGAAAACAGTGTATTTGTTCTCAAAGATATTCTACAAAAAAAGGACAAATCACAGATTAAGTCGCTCATCTAAGAAACCATTGTAATGTTATACAAATTCCAAAATTACTCAAATCGCTAAACAATTGATGCACATGGTCAGGGCATCGTATTGTTACATGACCAGCGATTGGCTAAAAAAGTGCATTTGATTCAATGGGACATTAGGTGATTGGATGAGAAAGTATTGTGTATAAGTATAAAAACTATTTTCCAAACTAACAGTACATTGTTTTCCGAAAGGTATTTTGTAAGTTTGTAGGATAATTTGTTACTCTGATATTAACATATTATAAAGTCAAGTATATGTCAGTCCTATGATCAGCAGTGGATTACAGTGAGAGAAAAAAGGGGGGGGGGTACTCCTCTATGAAGTCATTTTACGAAAAAATTTGGTTGGCTACCCCTAAATACCGAGATGAGTTTTATATGTCAGGCATGTCATTCTCCCAGAAAAATCACATCTCTTTGATGAAAACTCAATTTTGAGGTATGTTTTGGGGTCATTTCTTATAATGCAAGTCTATGAAAAATTTATGTCTGACCACATAAGTAACAACTTGGAACAAATGGGTTAGATTTGAAAAATTAAGACGTGTGCAAACTAATAAAGCGTAAAATTAAAAGCCTAGGATATGTTGTACTAAATACACTAAAAATAATTTCTGATAATTTCTACATGTTTAACATCTGACCCCTTTGTCACAATTTATAAACACTTTGTTAAGTAACTACAGTGATACTTCTCGAGTATTAATTAATCATACATTTCCGCACCTACATATCACTTTATGTCAAATCAGAGATTAAATTCTTTTATTTCATGTTTTCATTGAAAACAAAATGGTATTGATCCACAATTTACATATCTTTATACATACAGTATATATACAAATACATGTCAAAATGTTCTCTTATTCCCCATCAGTGACGCATTTCCCCTCTCTATTAAAATTTTATTGAAAGTGACCCCCCCCCCCAAAAAAAAAACCAAAACAAAAAGAAACAAACAAACAAAAACAAAAAAAATAAACAACAAACAAACCGGAGAACAATTGCAATCTGACAGTAGCTCCATACATTGTTCGGGCTAAAAAAAGGATATTTAAACAAATTTCCCTCCAAAAATTGAGACCCAACGTACAGTTTACTGAGCCAATCGCAACTACTCGGCCCTTTCCGTTAGTCTTCGGATAAGGACCCCGAACACAGTAGTAATAATACATAGAACGGATACGGTATTTCGGTCTTACCCACGCTAAGAAACTAGACATGTAAACAAATGGTAATTTAATGCTGGGATTTGTTGACAAGTTTATTTCCAATATATCAATTAAATGCCTACCTAAAATAAGTAAATTCAAGATACAAAAGCAAACAATACATTATTTGTATATTTATTATTATGTTTGTAGAAAACGAAAGTACAAAATGCCAACCTGTTGACATTCAGTTGCATTTGTTTAAAATTGTACATCAGTGGGCATATTTAAATTAAAAATGGTTGTCAGATATATTTTCACGAAACAGACTTAATTTTCTGTTGGATGTCAACTATATGTTCATTCGTTTTTCATCTCTCTCTTTATGTTTACATCTGTGACCACTAGGTAGAACTACTTTCACTCCGTGTTGTTTCCGAGGTTATTATAGATAATAGCTGAGGCAGTTCATAATCTTTACATCCTGTCACTTGTATCAATTTCGGCCCACCCAATAAATTCCTCCGCCTCGCCAGATAAACTTCCTCAAAAAAATATAGTAAAACAGAATCTCTAAAGAAAGCCCAACACGACAAAATAATTGAAAATGTTGCAGGCTTGGTTTGGTTGAGCCTGTTCATGGACGGTACTGGAAAATGCAAGTTACCGTCCACGCCCCCTAGCACTGGCTTTAGCAGAATTCAACATTTAATACGAAAACGGCGAAACTTTGAATTTAAAAATATCCGCAGATGTGTTCATACGGCGGTTATCATGGAACCTTCAATGTGACACAGTAGTGCCATTCCATGAAAAGCGGCGTATGGTTTCCAAGTAATAGAATGCTTTTGCCCTAAACGAGAAAACAATGGGCGGAACTAAATAAAATGGAATTTTGAAAGGGGATCAGATGTTATGAAGCCTGCATATCACAGATAAGACGTCAAAAGACAAATTTTAAAAGCATGCAACATATCCTAAGGGTGATTATACAGTATTCAAGTAGGAATACTGGAACCACCCAAGTTTAACAAGGCCAAATAGAAGAAACAAAAAGTACCACATTACATGTGTACACGACAACAATGTCGTGCCGAACGATCTTCAAGGGTCGAAAATATAACATCATTGATTAAATGTACGGGGAGACTTTTTACAATCCGCGGCACCAACCTATTATTCTCTATATAGATTACAAATGACTGATGCAATCAATCAAAAGTCACTATCAACAGTACAGAATACAATATTGTTAAGTTAACGCGAAAATACCATTAAATGGCGTGAAAAAAAGCTTCAGACCATGGCATTAACGCAACGGTACAAAGTAGGTAAAAATCGGTCGAATTCCCAAACTTCACCCCGCATTACTCCTCCTCGGATTGAGATTAGAATTGAAATAACTCTTGAATGACTTATATAAACATACCATTTTCCGTCGGCAAACTTCTGTCATAATTAGTCAGTGCAGAGATTAAAACATATTTTCTCCTATTACTTCATCCCCAACACACAATAACAAAAGGCTATTTATGTATATTCTTAAGAAACATATTTTTTTGAAAGTAAGGGGGAAAATCGAAAATGGCCAAGTTTTATTCAATCTATATGTTGCATCCTTATAATTATGCATTAAACGTGAGAATGCTAATAATTTTAAACGTTACAAAACAGGAAAAAAGGAAATTGTTTCCGGGTTGGTTTGTTGAGTCTGTTTATAATTTTTCTACAATTAAAGTGTCTTCTTGCTAATATTACTACAATTTGACTACTTGAAATTACAATGACACATTAATGTGATTACATGCTATTATTTACTTCAGTTTAAATTAACTGCTTCTCATTACTAGTTGTTAGTAAATTCATGCTATTTTCACTACAATAGAAGATTACATGCTACTATTTAATGCAGTATTAAGCATAACTACTTCATACACTACTAGTATTTTAAGTGAATTCATTACTACTACTATTATTACATACTATTATCTACTACAGTATCAAGTGTAACTAATTCCTACTATAATATTACAAGTGAATTCATGCTACTTTTACTACAATAGCACACTGCAAGCTATTATTTTTCTACAGTATCAAATGTTACTAATTCCTACTATTAGTATTACAAGTGAATTCATGCTACTTTTACTACAATAGCACATTACATGCTTTTATTTTTGCTACAGTATCAAATATAACTAATTCCTACTATAAGTATTACAAGTGAATTCATGCTACGGTTACTACAATAGCACACTACATGCTAATATTTAATACAGTATCAAGTGTAACTTATTCCTACTTTTAGTATTGTAAGTGAATTTATGCTACTATTAATACAATAGTATATTACATGCTATTATTTAATACAGTATCAAATATAACTAATTCCTACTATTAGTATTTTATGTGAATTTATGCTACTATTAATACAATAGTATATTACATGCTATTATTTAATACAGTATCAAATGTAACTTATTCCTACTATTAGTAGTTTAAGTGAATTTATGCTACTATTTATACAATAGTATACATGTATTCCATGCTATTATTTAATACAGCATCAAGTGTAACTAATTCCTACTACATGCTTCTTTTACTACAATGTTATATATACAATATTTAGCATATTTCTACAGTTTTATAAACTGTTTGATATTATAACTCCAGTTTCAGTGACGACTTGCTGATATGTCCTACATTTTCAAACGATTACTTGCTATTATTACTGTACATTGTAGTGACATGTGTTTGTTTATACACTTTTTTTTCTATTTTTTAAATTTTATGTGTCTACTTGATATTATTACTTGACTTACAATTGGCTAATTGTTATTTTTTTCCACTACATTTTCAAGTGATAACATACTATTACAACTACAGTTACATGTGACTACTTGCTATAATTTTCTACATTATTAATTATTTATTTTGTCAAATGATAAATATGTCTACCCAGATAGCAGACAGTAGTTGGCCCAACGTTGGGCCAATTACATTTGCTTTGTTGGCCCAACACATAATGCCAACGTTGGCCCAATGTCAATTTGCTAATTGGGGCAACGTTGGGCCAACGGTTGGTATATGGTTGGCCCAACGACTGCTTTCCTACTCTTATCGTTGGCCCTCCATTGGCCCAATGACTGGTTTTCCTTCCTATCGTTGGCCCTCTGTTGGCCCAACAACTGGTTTCCCTTCTTCTTGTTGGCCCCCCGTTGGCCCACTGACTGGTTTCCTACAATAAACATTGGCCCTTTGTTGGCCCAATGCCTTGTTTTCATAAAAGAACAAAATATATACTAATTACTACAATTTATTACTAAATGTTGTTCACATATCATTTTCATTTTCTTCTCTTTGTTGTTGCAACTTTTTAGTCAATCTCTTCCTCCGCCCGCCTTCCCTATCCTTAGCATATCTTAGCCACTCCTTCATTGCCTTCTCGATTTCATTATTAGTAGACCCCTGTCTTCTTCCTCTTACAGCATCTGAAATTTATACAGTTTACTGATTTTATTTAAATATACACTACTTATTATAATTTACTAGTAAAAAAGCACATAAATCTTTCAAAATGAAAATAGAGCTAAGGGATAAGACTTTGATAGTAAAGAAATATTTTAAATTACAAGTCAATAGATTTAATAGTAACAGAGATATTTGACATAATTAAAAATTTTAACCTAAAGTTTTTAAGTGAAAAAGGGGCATAATTCTGTCAAAATACAAATAGAGTTATGATGATCATTTACAACACAAGAGTCGGTGAAATCACCTTTGAAAAAGTAAAAAATACAAACCTAATATGACTTTTTTAAGTCTAAGTTTTTCGAATAGTCTTTTCGAGCCTTTTCCAACCCAGTTGTATTCTAGGGCAACTTCCTGAGACAAGGTGTGAGACATAACATGGCGAACAATGCTCTTCCAATTAGACATAAATTTGCTGTCTGAAATGAAATAAAAACAATTTTTGCAGTCGGGTAAAGTAATTTGTGTTTAATGCGAAGTTACACCTCAAATTAAATTTACACAAAGTTTCGTATACACTCTACTGCAATGAGTGGTGTAACTGTTAAAAAGTCTAGTAACAAAGCAGAATTTTGCAAATAACTCATAATCAATCATAATTACCTATTTATACTCAGAACAGATTGTATGAGCTTAACACTTCAGTGCTAATTGTAGCTTGTCAATTTTTACTAACTTGCAATTTTTTTGCAGTTATCACAATAAATTCAGATGTAAAACTATAAACATATCATATTTTAAGCTGATAAACACTGATAGAATTAAATGGTTTTAATTTCATTACAAAAATCAAATTCATTCTGGCTTGTTTACCTGAAAACATCAAAGTATTTTCCTTTACCAATCCGCCATTTTGTATTAATCACATGACCTGGTCACGTGGATAGTATAACAAGGTTTTAAAACAGGTTGAAATACATTACTATATTAGAAGGGTTTATTTAAAAGATTAAAGTAAAAAACTCTAGATCTACTTACATTTTTCAGTGTTGAGAAATTGCAGTCTAATACAAATTTATTTAGATCTATCTGTAAACACGTCCACGCAGCTTCGAAATCAAGCGAGGGAAAGGATGGGTAGTGCCAAAATGATCCCATTTTCATTCATTGATAACATAACCAGAGGTTAATTAGAGTTCAGAGTGGAAGATTCCGGAGGTTTATTATGGTTATTCCAGCACATGTATAATTGCTTTAGATTATACATCAGATCTTAAAGATTTCTATAGATCTATTGATACATATATCCCCTACTACTGCATAGCCTGGGCTTTGGTCATTTCTAGAATCAAAAAGTAATTATTTCTTACATTTCTCATTTAATATATGAGTATTTCTTGAATGTGACAATATTGAACATGGCTTCAAAAAAAAACATTATAAACTTTAGTCTTTACTCATTGTATTGTACTGTTTATATACAGTAAAATATCTACATGTATATCTGTCTTTAAAAAAATAAATTTTGGTTCAGGTGCAGTAATTAATATATTTGACGAAAATGTATCGTTGGTCAAACGTTGGCCCAACATCTGTTTTAAAGTACATATTTATCGTTATTGGGCCAATGCAGAAATGTCGCTGGCGTTAACTTATGGTTGGTTCGACGTTGGGCCAACAACTGCATTTATAGTACATGTTAATTAGAGTTGGGCCAACCATGGCCCAACAACGATTTTCCTATGACAATTTTCCGTGGTTGGCCCAACCACTGCATGTTTACAGGGTACTTGCTATAACTACTACCTAAGTGTTTTCGACTTACTTTTACTACTTCACCACATGTAAAAAATTGATATATTTTTGTGATTGCTATTATATTTTGTGCAGTATAAATTGTCTTCTTGTTGTTTCTTTCTAAACAGATAATTGACAGTTTGATTTAATCGAATCAATCTATTCAAATTTTTCGCTGTGTGTACAAAAAAAACAATTACATACACCTTCAATTTAACCTTTGTAATCAGTATATCATATGTTAAATTTAACATTATTGTTTTATCAAACCCTGATTGAAATGTATTTTATTTCTATTTTTGAACTTTTCTCTATTATTCTAACCTATCTCATAACTATAGACCAAATTTCTACCCATTCTTTCGGAAAAGCTCTGCTTGCATTAAGATGAGTGCTAGAGTATGTTTATGCGCAATCGCGGCCAACCTCTTTTTAGAGTTCCTCTTAGCAATAAAATAATGAAAAACATATTATTTTCACCAACGATCACTCAACATTACGCTAGCTCATGGAAATATTCAATGTTCCTGCATATCATGGTACTACTCCCCGTTATGTCTAATGTAATAATTACATACTCGGTCCTTGTTCATCTTATGATCCAAGCAAAACACAATGTTATGTACCCACAAAAACATATGTTACCAGGAACCAACTCTAATCGTAATTCCTCCTTCACCAAATTTCTTATGATTACTCTTTCATTTGCAGTATGTGTCCTTTTGGGTATTTTGCCTCATTCTCAGACCCGGCGACGTCCATCTTAACCCTGGTCCGGATTCGTCATGCACCAGTTCATCTTTATTAGCTTCAGTATCTAGTGCAATGTCAGAATTGATTGACAACCGATATTACAGTATTATGTTAAAAGCCTCCTGAACAAGATAGATATCTTAGAAGCTGAGTTTGGTATGTTTCATGTCCTTGCTTTCAGTAAAACGTGGCTTAACTCTAATACTCCTTGCAATGAAATAGCGCTGAACAACTTTCATGCGCCTGAGATAAAGGATAGAATAGAGAATTCTTATTTTGGTGTAATTGTTAATTTAAAAATACTTTACACTACATAAGAAGATCTGATCTTGAACTCAATGGTGTTATTGAACTAATGCCTTCACATTCCAAACGTATCATGTTTGCTGTTTTCTATCGACCTCCAAACTCAGACTCAAACTATACTAACGTTATGGAATACTTACTCAGTCAGGCAATTGACAGTGGGATATCTGATAAAATTGTTACAGGAGACTTTAATTTCAATGACTCTAACCCACAAATGGCCTGCAAACGAAATTCTATATGTCAGCAGTTTAATCTTGAACAACTTATTTCATCACATTTCATCGAATCTTCTAGTTCATCACTGGATTTACTTTTTGTATCCTGTAGCCACAGAGTTATTGCTTAAGGAGTTGGAGAGTCGATCCTAGCCCAAAATCAGATATTTCACTGTCCTATATACTCTCTTCTCTTTCAAGAAACCACAAACCAAATCATTCCAACGACTTGTATGGCTTTACGATCAAGGAGACTATGTCTCTCTCAGAAACAGCATTAGTAACACCGATTGGAATCAGTTCAAAATAGATGACATCAATATCTATACTTCCTCATTTACTAACAAACACCTAGAACTATCTTAATCACTCATCTCAACGAGGCAAGTACCTGTTAAGCCTACAACAGAAGTAAAGAAACTAATACATAAGCGCAAAAATATTACCACAGAGTCAAATACTCACAGAACTCGCACCATTGGTACAAATTCAGAAAACTCCGCAATAAGATAATAACACTTATATGCACGGCTAAACATAACCACTTCTTGCAAATGGCAGAGTCTCTCAAGTCAGACTTTACTACACAGACAGACTGGTGGAAACAAATCAAATATTTTATCTCTCCCACTAAAAACAAAGCAATCTTCCACTTTAAAACCCAAACAACGATGAATTTCTTTTTGATTCAAAATTGAAATCTGACCTTTTGATTGACTTTTTCTGTAGTCAGTCGTCGCTAAATAATTCTGATAAAGAACTTTCTTTTAATGATTGTAATATGCCTATAAACAAACTTTGTTCTATTTCTATTTTTCCTAAGGATGTTAAAAGCGCTCTGAGGTCACTTAAAACAAATAAAGCTTCAGGTCCTGATGGAGTCAGTAACCGTATATTGCGGGAAACTGCTTCAAATTTCCCCTATGTTCGTTGTTCAATCAGACTCTTCAGACTTGTAAAATACCATTTATATGGAAAAAGGCCCATGTTTTTGCTGTCTTTAAAAAAGGTGACCAATCTGTTTCAAATAACTATCATCCGATTTCCTTGTTGTGCTGTGTAGAAAAAGGTTTTTGAACGTATTATATTCTAGTATATATTTAATTTCTTCAAGATAAAAACTTCCTTTCTTCCGTACAGTCAGGCTTCAGACCAGATGACTCAACGGTAAACCAGTTAACGTAATTGTACAACACATTCTGTAAAGCTTTAGATGACGGGTTAGAAGTTAGAGCTGTGATCTTTGATATAACTAAAGCGTTCGATAAAGTCTGGCACAAAGGTCTTCTATTTAAGTTGAAAGCTGCTGGAGTAGACGGTTGTCTACTTAATTGGTTTTCTGACTATCTTACTAACAGACAACAGGCGGTTTACCTACCTTTTGCCCAATCAGGCTGGTCGATAGTAAAGGCTGGAGTACCCCATGGATCCATCCTTGGACCGCTTCTATTCCTAGTTTTCATCAATGACATCGAGGAAGATATAGGCTCTAAAATAAATATTTTTGCTGATACCAGTTTAAATATTATTGTTGACTACCCTGCTTCTGCTGCTGAAACACTTCAATCTGATATAGACAAGATATCAGCTTGGGCTGAAAAATGGCTTGTTACTTTCAATCCATCGAAGTCTAAATCTATGGTTATCTTTCGTAAAAGAAATAAGCCCTTCATCCTTCACTTCTTATGCATAACCAACACATAATAACCACCAACAGGCATAAACATCTTGGTCTCCACCTTTCAGACGATTGCTCGTCTCATTGTCACATTAACTATATTACCGAATGAGCCTGGAAGAGGATACACAATATGAGGAAATTGAAGTTTCAGCTTGACCGTAGATCTCTTAAAGTGATATATTTAACTTTCATTCGACCGATTTTGGAATACGCCAATGTTGTCTATCTAAACTGCACACAATATGAGAAACTTGAGCTTGACAAAATTCAAAATGAAGCGTCGCGTATTGTGTGCGTTGCTACAAAACTTGTATCATTAGTTCAACTCCATAGTGAAGTTCCTTGTGAATCCTTAGAATCTCGGAGAAATAATCATATGTTTATCTTACTTAAAAAAAAGAAAAATGACTTACTCAGATAACTTGTGTTCTTTACTTCCACCTACTGTAGGTGAAAATTCAAGATACGATCTACGCGATGCTACAAATATTCAGACTATTAGAATACGAACAACTCTTTATCAAAATGCGTTTCTTCCTACTGCTCTGAATAAATGTAACGCCCTTCCAACTGAAGTACAAAATTTACGTTCACTACTCTTTCAAATCCCATTTGAGACGAAGCAGCTCTAGTTGTCCGATTTATTTCTATGAAGGCGATATAAAATGGCAGATCTATAATACTCGACTTCGTCCTGAATGTAGTTCTCTAAATCAGCAACTATTTAAGAATTTTTTTACAATCTCCTCTTTGTCTGGGTGGCATAGTGTAAAGTGATTACCACTTTTTCTTTGAATGTCAACGCTATGTTTACAGCAGGGTCTCTTTCCTTAACACTATATCTACTATTTGTTCTCCAAAAGTGATTAAATGGAGACCCAAACATTAGTGATGATGCAAACAGAAGAATGTTTGAAGCCGTTCATACATACATCCGAGAAAGCAGGAGATTCTCTTAAGCATATTCACATCAGCTCAAATCACTAAATGCTTCCTATTCAAATCGTCGAACTCTCCGAATAATCCTTATTTCAGTTATTTCTTCTTCTTTCCTATTTTCCTGAAAGCTTCTTCCTATTCTGTCTTAATTAACGTTAATTCTCTTTAATTTTATATAACAAAATGATGCAGTCTTGTATTCTCATTTCTTTTTGTATATATGTTTGCTTTATACTTGTATTATAACTATTTACAAACAATTTTGAATTTAACTTTTTAAAAACAATGTAACATCAGATATATTTCAAGTAAGTCACATATACTGCCATACCGTATTTTATCTATAAGGATCAGGCTTTTATAAGCTCAGTTTTCGGATGCAATCCCTTTTCAAAATATCATGTCAGTATTGTGTACATTATTGTTAAGGTTTTTACCATTTAGTCATGATTTAGTGCATGCGCCTGTCCACCATGGAAAAATCAAATATATTCCTTGCTAAAAACAACTACAACAATAAAAAATCAAAGAATGTAAGCAAGAGACGCAAATATATAGCTTAATACAGACAATTTAAACTCGGAAGGATATTACATAAAACATTTGTTACGGGAATGAAAAAATAAATCGCATACGACATAAACAATTTAATGGTACAAATCATTGAATATCCGCTAATACACATGTTACGGATCAGACAATAATTTGGATCTACGTTACCCAACGTAATTTGACGCATGTACAAGTGGTAAGTAATATCCCCCATCTCGAAAACAGACGGTAAACAACCGAACAAGTGATAAAAGTTGTAGATATGTTCCGTTAAAATAGTCAAGAATGCGCAGATTAGATTTCAACACTTTTCTTTATTCACAATCACGGGATATTATCAATGTGATACAACAATGCGATTCTCTGAAATTAACAAATTAAACTAACAAAATACTTATTGCAACGCATTTAAAGTCAAATATAATCAATTGTCTAAGTAATCATGTTAATACAAATTATAAACACACGACGCCAGTGTTAGTGAGAATGCGTTTATTAACGGGAAACGTGAAACGTCAAACGTGGAACGTCAAACGTGGAACGATT